TAGCCCCTGTGGCACTATCGTAGGGGCTGGGAAAAATTCTACATTATTTCCTAATGACATATGGCACCCAGCAGAACTACATTTCCCAGGAGCTATGTGCCTACAAATAAAGTGTGTAGACAAAGGTTTATGAAAATATAGGTGTTGATGTGGGTATGTGGTACCAGTGACAGGAGAGCAGGCATGTTTTCGGTCTTCGCCGGTACACACTCTCAAAATACAATTGCTAATGTTGCACTACCCCTTTAGGAGTTGCTATAGTTTTGGATCCCCCTATTGTCCTGCACAGTTAGGAAACACGCATTTTCATTCAGACTTGCATCCAGGAGATAGTAACCAGTCGATGAGCTTTGTTTTAAGGTTTTATTAGGGGATTGAACTTAGATGGGGTAAGGGATGCCCAAGGGTATGATAACTGATAACAACTTCCTGGAACTATGTACCAGTCTCTAATCCTCTTCTTGGAGGGCTATGCAGCCTCTTTAGATGTAGCACCCCAGATACTCCTTTATCCAGCTCCCTGGAGGAATCCCTAGGCAGGGGATCCAGTGCCTGTCACTTTAAGTGTAAGACAGTCCTGGGTATGCAGCAAATTCAGCTCCCCACTAGAATGCTCCTTCCCCTTACTGGTCCAGGGAGTGTAGGTCTACTCATTCAGTCCTCCATCTGCGAATGGGTCGGTGGGTCGGGTGGCTGCTACCAGGGATTCTAGCTGGGCTGCTCCTTTCCTGCTACAGAAGGGGTCTTCTCTCTGGGAGCTGATGAGGTGCTGAGTTTTCCTCCTTTCCAGTGTCCCTACCTGAAGGTGAGCCCTTTCCCATCTGGGCCCCCTTCCAGGCTTCTGCTCTCCAGCCTCACTTTTCCATCTTCCACATGAACTCTCCTGCTGCTGAGCAGGCTTGATCACTCTTAAGGGCTGTCCTGGCCCCTTGCCAAGCCTCCTGTTGGGGATTAGCCAGGATCCCTTGAGAGTGCAGACCAGCCACTCCTTACTTCCGCCCACAGCTTCTAGAACTGTTTCCAAAGTTCTAATGCAGAGGGAAGTCTCAGCGAGCTAGTCTGTAGAGCCTCTCAGCTCTGACCCAAATTTAACCCTGCTAGCTATGACACCCAGGCTGCTATTCAGCCTCTGATTAACAACTGAAGTTTGAGCTCCCCCTAACTAACTAGGAGGGTGCTACACTAACATTTAGCAAGCACCTTGGTACTGATTGAATATAAATACACCTTCTGTAGAATAATAAAATAAAACATTAGTTGTTGGAAGGTTTGCAATGTCCACAGTTGTTGAGTGACAGGTCATCCAACACACACAGTTGCATTAGTTGGTCAAGACTACAAGACATTGCCTCTCTGTTAGGAGTTGCATGCTAGCTGCAGAGAAAAAGTTGAATAATTTCAGCAAAGTGAGGTGAGAGCTGCTTTTTCAAATACATTTTGTCTGGAGATGAGCTGTATTAACAGCAAAGTTGGTGGCCAAAAGAACATACTGACATTTATGACCATCTTGTTTTCTTCCTCTGCACACAGTTTGGTCAGCTGCTTTTACCAGCATGTGTCACTGAAAAGTACTCACTATTACTCTGCTAGTATTGGGTTAGTCTTGGGCAGTCTGCCAAATTTCTTTGAATCCTATTCAGAATTCATCCGAGTAAAGTCTATGAGGGGCTAATTTTGCTATTACATTTGTACACTGGCAGCATATATATCGCTGTGAAATTTTTGTTCCTTTCTTTTACAATTAGCTTGGCTCACATACATCAGCAGCAAAACTGGCTGATTGATTTCTGCTTGAAAAAAAAACATTTTCTGATAGGCTTAAGTCTAGTACACACTACTAGTTTTTCTTTTTGCTCAACCCAGCGGCTGAATGAAAAAAAACCTGACAGCTCAGGAGGAGCCACTGTATTTTTTTGCATTCCATCTTTTTTAGGATTTTACAAAATGTTTACAAGATGAATCAAATTATCAAATACAAAAAATAATACAAAAGGAACAAAGGTCAAAACACACGTCAACTTTAGGCATTCCAGGGATATAGATTATCAGTATGCTGGGTCCTCATGACACGGGAGGTCTACAGAGGCAGGAGAAAGAATGTGGAGAAACATAACTGAACAATTGGTTAAGACTACTTCAAACATAGACTCTGTAATAGGTGTCAATTGACCCATGTCAGGGAGCCCGAAGTTTAAAAAATACAAGGTAGCCTTAAAAAGGGGGGGGGGGGGGATTGGGAGTGAAGTGGAGGGGGAGGGTAATCCTCCCACCTTGATTGAAGCAACACATTAGAGACCTGATCCACGTGTGTTTTAGGCAGTGGATTTACCTAGTGGGGCAGAACCTTTCAGTGTTTAATCAGCCGGCAAAAATTTGTTGAAACTCCGTGGTGCAGGAGTATGCTGTCCAGTGAAACCAGGAGCCACTGTATTAACTATCTGATGTTAGTACTGTGTTCTCCCCAGCTGCACTGGGTTATTGTGTTCTGAAAGGGGGGATGGCCCCCCGTCAGAACTCTTCAGGCAGTGCTCTCAGCCATTGGCTAAGAGTGATGATCGTAAGTCGATTTGCAGACCATTTTTGGTCATTCCCCTTCGACAGAAGCCGTCTTCTTTCGGACTGCTTGCCATACACACAGGCCAAATGTCAGCCAGCATTCAGCCCGTGTGTACTAGGCTATAGCAACGAAACATACTTTTTTATCAAATATTTTGACTGGAAGTTAGTAATTGGCAAGTAGGTCTCTATGGCTTTGTTTGTTCTCACTGCCATTTCCCAATTTCCATTGAGGTCTTATTAAGAATTAAGAGACCACAGATGATACAGCAGTGTAAAATTGGCCAGCAACAGGACTTTTTGTTCCAGGAGAATTAGCCAAAATGCATAAAAGCAAAAAGTACAGGCAGGTGTTTTATTAAAAGAGACTGTAGACTAAAAAGTAGTGTAAAATTGTCCCAAAGCAGAACAATTTGCATGATGAAGGCTAGATCTAAATTTAGGGCTGCAACTACCGATTATTTTCATAATCGATTAGTTGGCCGATTATTGTTTCGATTAATCGCCTCAAAAAAAGTGTGATGTATAATTTAGTTAATATGTAAAATAAAAAAAAAAAAGACAATTTATTCTTGAATATCTATATGCAGTGGTAAACATAAATAACCAGCTACATGGTTAGGGAACAAACTATCTAATCCACTATTGAGAAAACTCAGACTCAGAGATCAAAATTTTTACTTAAAAAAAAAAAAAAAAAAAAAAAAAAAAAAAATGTATGAAAGACCTAAATCGCTGTTTTGCGGATTTTCAAACAGGATTGTAATATAATAATATGCACGACAAAACTCCCTTGTCTTAGGCAGGTAGCTTGGCACAAGCTATCTGCAGCTGCTGTCACTTAATCCTGGTACACACATTCAGTTTTTTTTTTCGTTCAACCCAGGGGGCTGAATGAAAAAAACCCGGAAAGATCGCTTTACTAATTAACTAATGTTAGTGCAGTGATCTCTCCCACTGTGCCTTTGTGTTCTCACAGGGGTACTCTCTAGAGCACACTAATCAACGCTGGCAGCCAATGACTGATAGGATGCTGGTTTTCTAGCTTGTCCCTTTAACAAAAGCCAGCCCTTGAACTGACTTCTGTTGGAAGGATAGCTGCACACATGGTCTGAATGTATTTTCTGATATGTAAACAAATAATGCATTCTGTATGTAGGCAAACTAATCGGTCGACCAACTATTCGATTATTACAATAGTTGACAATTATTTTCATAATCGAGTATGTCGAATAGTTGTTTCAGCCCTATCTAAATTTACTAGAGATAAATGGCACAGGCTAGGCTTTTTTTACTACAAAAATCATGTTAATGCAGAGAGCAGTGTAAACTTGGCAGCAGCAGAACAGCTTTATCAGGGATAACAGGCCTAAGTAGTGCATACCTTACTTTTATTTTATCTATAGGCTGTATTGAATGGAATATGAGTGATATAATGTGAGATGGTTTGGGTGCACACTGTTGCTGCAACATTATTTTTGGTTTTATACAATGCAGTGACATGCTGCGAACAAAAAGCAGCCTTAAAGAACAGGTAGTCAGTAACAAGTGAATGCTCCACTTTAGGCAACCCAAACCTAAAAAACACCCTATCGAAATAAAATGATAATTAAAAAACCTGAAAATACCACCCCTGAAACTATTGCCAACTTTTTTAAATGAAAAAAAAATGAAAGACTTGCAGCAATAAGAAGAGAAAAAGCACTTTAACATAAAATAAAGGCCCTATCAACATACGACAAAAAAACAATATATCCTCCAAATAAATTAAAACCCCCAAATATCACCCCTTAAAACTACAGCTTACATTTTGAATGGAAAAAAAATGCAATGGACAAAAAACAGCAGTTAAAAATTACCTCAAATCAATTACGAAATAAAATGAAAAGCAAAAAAGCCCCCAGTAATAGAAACATCAAAAGAAGCAAAGTGGTTGGTTGCCCACAGAGCTAGCAGTCAGAATTAAAGTACAGTTTCCTAACCCTAATCTCTCACCATGTTTTATGAACTTGCCCGATGTTTTTCCTACTAAAGCTTCCAATTCACTGGCATTATGGCTGCTCTGTGGAGGTCTGGTTTATCCAGAAGACCCCTTACTGGCCCTTCTAAGCCTGCTGGCCTTAGTGAAATTGTCATGAAATGCATTATGGTTTTAAACAAACTATCCTGGGTGAATATACACATTCATTTGTCAAGACCACAAATCTGGAGCCCACAGGATTCACCTTAAACCCATGGTAATGACAAACCCTTACCTTATCCCTACATAGGATACTGCTGACCACCAGCAGTCCTGGTCTTTACAAGATTTGTAGCTTGTTATGCTATTTATCAAAGAGAGATCTTGAATACAGAATCTCATGCACTTACAGGGAATGTATAGTGTTTGTGTGTTCATTTTCTTTCCGTATGTGTAAGTACTAAGTGATGTATTCTTTGTTTTCTTCCAGGTGTGCTTACTGATAGCTTTCCTGTGTGTGAGGAACTCTGTTTGGACAGACTACAGCACATACCGCTATTTTGAAGTTATTACAATATGCTTTATGATATTAATACTTGTCTTGTATGCGGTGTCCCTGTTCCGGATATACAGAATGCTCACTTGTGTGTCATGGCCATTGACAGTAAGTACTTAAGTGAATACATTTGTGCCGAATTTACTTCCTGGAATCCATCTGCCCTTGGCTGATATATGCAGGCAGGAAGATGTGCTTAGCTAAGAAAACCCCTCTTCCCTCCTGAAGACTCCTGGGATGTATGACATAATTTGCCTAGGCATGGAAACCAGGAAGTAACTAAAGAAATGTAAAAAACTGTCTAAAACAAGGAAATATTCTATACTTTTCTGTCTACTAATGCTAGCCGTATAAGGATTTAAAGTAGTCAATGTTGATTGAGAGAGTATTCCACTTTAACAGTGAGCTTCTCTTATTTGTTCCCTTATGCTATGTTGAATATATAATTAAAAGGGATTTTTTTATATATATATTTGTTTGATAAGTGCAAGAAATACCTGCTGATCATGTTAGGAATTCAAAGCTGTCTTGTGTCCTATGCACACTTCCTGTATTGTCTCAAAAAGTCTAGGCAAAAGTTTAGTGAAGGACAACTTAGCAGGGCTCTAACTGTTTCTTGTGATTTCAGCCCACAAAATTCTATGGGTTGTTATTCCACAACAAGAATATAGGAGTTCAGTGCATTTTTGGAAGATCCACAGATATTTTTCTGTACTTGCAGGGTCTTTAAATGGATTAAAAATGGGGGGGAAGTGCATGGATTGCAGACATATACTAAATATTATGATAGTGCGAGACCCTGCCACTGTGAAATAGGAGAAAGGGAGACAGGGTTCCCAAACTACAGTTTGAGTGGATACAGAATGTCAGTTTTGAGCGGAGAAAGATTTTTTTTTTTTTTTTTAAATCTTTCACCAGGTTTTGTATTTCTAGGATCAGGGTCTAGAGCTTAGATTTAGAGTGCTCTGGGTAGGAAGAACTCTCCAACCCAGTGTCCAGGACCAGCAGGGAGTGTGGGCAGGGGTTCATGGCCCTTATAATCTGGAACCTGAGAATAGTTTGGTGCTCCACCCAAGAGACAGGAGGTCTGTATCCAGTAGGGCTTCACCTTAAGAGACATGGGTGAGCCAGTATTGCTTGCTGCTAGCAGTGTACATTGAGTTTGGGAGAGAAGATTGCCTGGAGTAGATAGACAAGGGTTTGAGGATTAAGGCCAGAGTTCCTGTGTGCATTGGAAGGGCCTGAGGATTGAGGCCAAAATTCCTGTGTTCATTGATCTGGCGGATGATCAGACATAAGGCCTAGGCTTGAGGCCTGAAGCAGCTGTGTGGCAAGAGTGAGCCAGGAGGCTGAAGCATTGTGTTTTGCGATTAACAGTCATGTTGAAAGCCCCTGCATCAGCAACTAATTTCTGTGTGAACTTTTTACTTCTTTTTAATAAAAGTGGGCCAGCAAGCCATTAAACAGATCTTCTGGAGTGGACTGGACTCACTGGGAAACTGAGAATCACATTATGTTTTTTTATCATTTGCCCTTATATACACTTTCAGATATATATAAAATATCCTCAGGTTTATTAAATAACAATTTCTTTTCTTAAAGGAACTGTTACACTATGCCATCTGCACCATCCTTCTGCTCATTGGCTCCATCGTGGCTGCTGTGAAAAGTTATAGTGTGAACGGATTAGTAGCTGGATCGGTAAGATATGTATAAATGATATAACCTGCATATGATCATTCATATGATGCTTCTCTTATGTCCTGAAATAGAACTAGTGGGCTTCCTTTTTTTCTTTCTTCCTTCTTTCCAGGTGATGGAGCTTTACGCTCCTCTAAACATGTTATGCTTAGTACCCTTAACAGGTTTTTTTCAAAAGAGGGGCTGTTTAAAAAAACACAAAAGTTCAAGGGAAATGTATACACGGTTAATACATTTAAAAGAGATGATGGATGTCTCTGACATCTCTAGTGCTCTCAGAATCCTTTGTCATGTATTCAATAAAAAAGTAGACTTTAATCCAAAACATCATTATTTCCCCATAATGGGGATGTGTTAAAAACTAAATTTGGCTGAGTTTAATTAGATCTGTTGCACTAGTTTTGTACTTTGCATACATTCAACAAATCCAGACGTATGCAGTATATTATAGCGAAGCTAGGCTGCTAAATTATATCCGAACAAATCTTGAATGGCACATGTTCAGCATAAACCAGCCATTCTCAACCTTGTTAACATGGAGGAACCCTTAAAATAACTTTCTGGCTTCAGAGAACCTCTACTTATAATTACTATATCTACAGCTCACAGTACATCAGTGTTATAGTCACTGAGAAGAATGCTTCTTCAATTTGTGGTCACTAGGAAAAATTCCCCTTAAAGATTGTTGCTCATCTGAGAGTCATAAACTGCCCATTGCTCAAGAAACCTTTAACAACCTATGGAGGAACCCTGGTTGAGAAAGTTGCTGTAAGCTACTGTACAGTATGTCTATAAATATGTTGATAATGACCGCATATGAGGTTTGATCGAGAAAAAGCAAGCATTAAATTAAGAACATTCTGTTGTACTGTCTCTCTAGATAACCCATAGTGCTCTGAGAACTCTTTGTCGTGTTTTTAGAAATAGTGTAGGATTTATGACTAGATACTAAAAGGGATGTGGTAAAGACAAAAAAGTCTCAATTGTGGTTAAGTATAGTTAGATATGTTGCGCATGTTTTGTAGTGCGCATATATTCAACAAATCCAGACATATTTACTATGTTATACCATAGCCAGGTTGCTAAAATATATCCCACTGTATCTTAAATGGTACGTGCTCAATGTAAACTATATCTATAAATACATTGACGTTGAATAAGAGACAGCAAAAAATTAGCCACAATCATATCACTTACTGTAGAGAAAGACAGTTTTGTACTAGGGGAGCTACCTACAGCCAAGTGCATTTATAGCTATGTTCACACTAGCCTGTATAGCAAATACAGTGCAGGCTAGTGGCTTCAGCGGCAAGCAGCTTGATTCAGGTTTCACATTCTCAGCGTATGCATGAACAAAAGAGCATTCACTCCTACAGAAAGGTCATCTATTATGTGACCTAATGATAGCCTCTTCATTGAAAAATTGGTATGAAATTTAAAGAAAGAAGTCTCATGAATTAATGGTATTTACAGTTGTGTTCAAAATAATAGCAGTCAGACATCACTAACCTGATCAATCACTGTTTTTGGTAGAAATGATATTTCTACATGGCAAATAATTTACTAGCAGGTGTAGTAGAGTAATAGAAATCCAACAGACTCAACAGTCATCACATGCATGCTGCTGATTCTGTGTAATTGAATCACTAATTGAAAGGGGCATGTTCAAAATAATAGCAGCATGGAGTTCTATTAGTGAGGTCATTAATTCTTTGAAAAACAGGTGGCAATTATTGCCTTTATTTAAGGAAGGAAGGCAGCAAATGTTGTACATGCTGGTTACAGTGCATTTCTCTCTGAAATTCTGAGGAAAATGGGTCGTTCCAGACATTGTTCAGAAGAACAGCGTACCTTGATTAAAAAGTTGATTGGAGAGGGGAAAACATATAAAGAAGTGCAGAAAATGATAGGCTGCTCAGCTAAAATGATCGCAAATGCTTTAAGATGGCAACCAAAACCTGAAAGACATGGAAGAAAGCGAAAAACTACCATTCGAATGGATAGAAGAATAGCCAAAATGGTAGGACTCAGCCAACAATCAGCAGGAAGATCAAAGAAGTTCTAAAGTTACCTGTGAGTACTGTTACAATTAGAAGACGCCTATGTGAAGCCAAGCTACCTGCAAGAAGCCCCCGCAAAGTCCCACTGTTGAAAAAAAGACATGTGCTGAAGAGGTTACAATTTGCCAAAGAGCACATTGACTGGCCTAAAGAGAAATGGCGCAACATTTTGTGGACTGATGAAAGTAAGATTGTTCTTTTTGGGTCTAGTGGCCGGAGACAGTTTTGTCAGACGAGCCCCTAAACACTGAATTCAAGCCACAGTACACTGTGAATACAGTGAATCATGGTTGCGCAAGCATCATGATATGGGGATGTTTCTCATACTACGGTGTTGGGCCTATTTATCGCATACCAGGGATCATGGATCAGTTTGAATACATCAGAATACTTGAAGAGGTCATGCTGCCTTATGCTGAAGAGGAAATGCCCTTGAAATGGGTGTTCCAACAAGACAACGACCCCAAACACACCAGTAAACGTGCAACATCTTGGTTCCAACCAACAAGATTGATGTTATGGAGTGGCCAGCCCAATCCCCGGATCTTAATCCAATAGAAAACTTGTGGGGTGACATCACAAATGCAGTTTGAGGCAAAACCAAGAAATAGAGAAGAACTGTGGAATGTAGTCCAATCATCCTGGGCTGGAATACCTGTTCACAGGTGCCAGAAGTTGGTTGACTCCATGCAACACAGATGTACAGCAGTTCTCAGAAACAGTGCTTATACAACTAAATATTAATTAAGTGATTCAAAGGAAACAAAATCTTCAAACATTTTTCAGTTTATATAGTGAATGTTTGAGTTTGTAAAGAAGAATACAAACACTGCTATTTTTTTGAACAGTCTAATATTCACTTTTCTTCAATTGTTTTAGAGGAACACCACAAATGTGATATATTTTTCTTCATGATTTGATTTGGAATAGAATGTGTAGTGTTCCCAATGCATTTGTGTGTATGGAAATAAAAGCTATTAGAAGGATTTTGAGCTTTATTCATGTTTTTCAACACACCGCTATTATTTTGAACACAACTGTACATAGGATTATAACCATTTACCCTACTGTGAGTTGATTGATTCAGTGTCTGGTGATTGCTTGAATTAGATTGTTCTTAAATTGACTCTATGGGGTTTATTTACTAAAGCTGGAGAGTCCAAAATCAGACTCCCTTCTGCATAGAAACCAATCAGCTTCCAGGTTTCATTGCCAAAGCTTCATTGAACAAGCTGAGGTTAGAAGCTGATTGGTTTCTATGCAGAAGGGAGTCTGATTTTGGACTCTCCAGCTTTAGTAAATAAACCCCTATCAGTCATTTAAACATCTTTCAAGACACTGATAGTAAAATTTCACTTTCTTACTGAGAAGCTCTAATTTAAGACTAAGCTGTGGCAATCATCACCCCCTTGTCCAATAACAATGCCCTAGTAGCCAATACATAGTGTACCAACACGGAACTTATCAGTGGCAGTTTGAAGGATTTTGTCCTAAAGCTTGGGATGTCAGGCTGGTAGACAAAAAAGTGAAACCAGTATCAGAGTGGCACACATGAGAGGGATTTCAGAGCTAATTATGATAAAACCATACATACCTATAAGCAGGAGAGTGACTGTGGACTGTAAGCATGTATACTATGTGGTTTATACAAGTTGTCACTACCTAAAGTCTATGTGCAACAAAGTTTATTTTAGTTTTGATAGAGTAGGGTAAAGTGTACATTAGGCCTCGATTACACTGTCAGCAGTCATCTACTGTGTATGTCTTCTGTTTATGGCATTAGTGTTCATTATGGCTTGCTAGGTGAACGTACCAGAATGCATGTACTGTTTAAAGCTGAACAACAGGCAGATATAAGTTACAAATTAATGCTCTGTAACCACTAATACATCAATAAATGCAATGTGAGCATCTGAATTTGACTTGGTGTAAGCCTCCAGCAATCTACTGTTCAGCAGAACTTAGATAGGAGGAGGGAGAAGCAGCACAGAGAATTGTAAGGAGATTGCTGATAGGGGAAGAGAGTGGAGTGACAGAAAGATGAGCTCACCAGTGTTCTTTTTCTTTTACTGTCCACTCACAAGGTGGGGATGAGGGGATGATTGATTAGCGAACATGAAACTGCAACAGAGAAATTTGTGGAACTTGTTAAATGTTGATATGACCTGATGTCAGGTACTTCCTTAATTACCTCTTTTCTCTACAATCCCGAAGTACCAGACAGTCTATCTGCTTTATTGATAACTCCTTGGTTACTGGAACAGTTATTTCAATTTCGTCATCTGGAAATTGTTTGTTTTTGAACAGCTTCAACATAGACATAGTTTGCCGCCCATGGCACGCTATGGCTAGCTACAGATAAGACACTACTCACCCCCCATAACCTCTACGCTACAGTTTTCTAAGCCAACACCTTTCAAAAAGATTACTTGCAGAAGGGCCAGAAGGGCTTAATTTCAGATGCTTAGAAGCTTTTGAATGCTTATCCTATTCAGAAGTTGGGTAAACATGCAGACATGCCTAAATGGTAAAATATTCTGGGGGAAGAGCTTACTTTAGAAAGTAAGTATAGTAAGCATATGTACAACAGAAATAAAGTAGTATGTAGAAATTTCAAACATTCAAAATCAGCAGGGGATCAAATACTTATTTCTTTCACTGTATGTGTGTGTGTATATATATATATATATATATATATATATGTGTGTGTGTGTGTGTGTATGTATGTGTATGTATATATATATATATAATTTTGGCTTGTTGCATAGCTGAAATGTAATTTTGTCTGATCTATGTTGTTACTTAGGCAGGCTGTAGACAATTCCAATGGTTGCAGGAAAGAAATTTTGCATGATTCCTCCATCAACACAGGTCCTTCTGACAGAGGAATTCCTTTTGCTGAGTAATTGTATTCTCTTGGCAGGGGACTGGGCGGGGGAAGCCATTCCTGTCAGA